CTGCCCCACCCTGCCCTCAAGGACAGCTTCAGAAACTGAGGTAGGGTGGGAAGTAGAGGTGATGGCTCAGAGTCCTGGGCTCCAGAGTAGGGCCAGAACACACCCAGGGACTCAGCAGACACCCAGGGACTCAGCAGGGGGGCTCGTGAGCACCCAGGCGAGGTATCAGACCATGAGTGGTGAGCGAGCACAGTGCTTGCCTTATAAGGCAGCCCGGGGAGCTGGCTGGTGTGGCTGTGAGCCAGAGGGGCGGCTAGAGGGACTGAGCCAGCAGCCTGCCCTTGCTGGGTGGGTTCTGTGACCCAGCACCACCCAGAGACCTATGGATCCAAGAATCCAATGTGTACAGCACAAGCTTCCACCTCATCAAGCCCTGGAAAGAGGAAGGGGAGGCCAGGTGGCCTCTGCTGCCCTCTCCCTTCAGCTGTCTGTGCTCCTACCCTCTTCTCTGACCCCTTCCCAGACCGCCAGCAAACATCCTCCCCAGTGCACCCTGAAGATGACTCTCCACCTCTGCCCTGCCCCTAGCACTGTAGGGAAAAAAGTCTGTGGGGTAGGAAACTAGGGTCCCTGGAGGGTGGGGGGTATATAAGAAGCATCTACTTGGTCCCTAGTTGTCCTATTTTTTTGTTGCTGTCACAAAATACTCTGACCAATACTAACTTGGGGAGGAAAAGGTTTATTTGGCTTACATCTCCTGGGTTACAGTTCATCAGAGAGCCCAAGGGAGGAACTCAGGGCAGGAACCTGGAGGCAGGAGCTGGAGCACAGGCCATGGAGGAACTCTGCTTACTGGCTTGCTCCCCTGGCCCTTGCTCAGCTTGCTCTCTTATGCAACACAGGCCTACGTGCCCAGGGGTGGCACCACCCACAGTGGGCTGAGCCCTCCCACATCACTCAACAATCAAGAAGATGCCCCACAGACATGGCCACAGGCCAGTCCTATGGAGGCAATTCCCCAATTGAGGCTCCCACAAACCAGTTGTGTCAAGTTGACACAAAAGTTATTCAGCACAATCTAGTATCCTACAGTACTTTATAAAAACAAAGACAGCTGGGCATTGTGGTGCTTGCCTTTAATCCCAACTCTTGGGAGACAGAGGTAGGCACATCTCTGTGAAATCAAGGCTGGCCTGGTCTACATAGCAAGTTCCAGGGAGATTCTACATGGCAAAATGTAAGGATAACAAAGGCTTACTGTTAAATCTTAGCATTTTTTCCAATTAATTATTCTATTTTCTGCATTAAAAAAAAAAGAATAGCTTTATGAGAGATTGAAAAGTCCTGTTATGTTCTGTTAAGAACTGCTATTCTGGGGCTGGAGAAATGGCTCAGCGGTTAAGAACACTGGCTATTCTTGTAGAAGACCAGGGTTAGAATCCCAGGACCCACATGGCAGCTAACAACTGTCCGTAACTCCAGTCCAAGGGGATCCAAGGGGATCCGACAGCCTCTTCTGACCTCCAAGGCACTGCACGACATGGGTGCACTTACCAACATGCAGGCAATACACGCATACACATAAAATAATAAATAAAAAATTAAAAAACATTATTATTCAAATTCACCTCCAGATGTACTCCCTCTTCTGATCAGTAATGCTGCTGAAATGTAGGATTCTGTTTTTGTGCATTTGACTATATCCACTGACTTTTGTGTTTATTTTGATCTTGATGACTTTCCATCTTTTATAAGTTCCTCAGTACGTAAAATTAAATCTTCTAATAAAATTTTGGAGAGGAAAAAAAAAAATCACAGAGCCTGGGGCTGGAGAGATGGCTCAGAGGTTAAGAATACTGACTGCTCTTGCAGAAGACCCAGGTTCAAATCCCAGCACCCACAAGGCAGCTAACAACTGTCTGTAACTTCAGTTCCAGGGGATCCCACAGCCTCTTCTGTGCTCCACGGGCATTGCACGACACAGGTGCACTTACCTACATGCAGACTATACACGCATACACGTAAATAATAAAAAAAAATTTAAAGTTAAAAATGAATAGTGAGCTGGGCGTGGTGGCACACCTTTAGTCCCAGCACTTGGGAGGCAGAGGCAGGCGGATCTCTGTGAGTTCAAGGCCAGCCTAATCTACATAGTGAGTTCCAAGCCAGCTGGGACAACAGGGAGACCCTGTCTCAAAAAAACAGATGGGCTGGGTGTGGTGGCGCACACCTTTAATCCCAGCACTTGGGAGGCAGAGGCAGGTGGATCTCTGTGAGTTCAAGGCCAGCCTGGTCTACATAGCAAGTTCCAGGCCAGCTGGGGCTACAGGGAGACCCTGTCTCAAAAAGACCAAAAAAAAAAAAAAAAGGACAGATGGAAGGAGGCAGGGAGGGAGGGAGGGAGAAGACTAGTATATCACTTATTGTCCTATGAAAAATCTTTCTTCATTGGAAAAAACAAAGTCTAGCAGAGGAAATTCACAAATAATGTGCAACCCAGGAAAAATCAAAGTGTTTTATAGCAGAAAGACACAAAGATGTTCTGGAGACAGAAGGAGGAGGCTCTTTCTAGCCATGACACTGGGAAGGATGTGTAGGGTCTGTTGGGTGTGTAGGGGCTCCACAAGGCAGAGGCTGGGTCAGGAGGTGAGAGCAGAGGGGATGTGAGGAAGGTGTGGGAGACGCAGAGCAGAGTGGGTGGAGCCAGGGGTAGGAAGATTGGACTGCCATGGCCCTGAGAGTGGGAAAGGCTCAGGCAGGACTAACATCATTAATACCCTGGGAACAGCTTTGCAGGAGCCCAGGAGACCCTGGACACAAGCTGAGGGGCAGAACGGAGTACACTGAGCTCCTTCATTCCCTGATCCTTTCCTCTACCATGCCAGCTGGGTGGGCCGGGGCAAGGCGGCCCCAGAGAACAGTCAGGTGGAGGTCTGAACACCTCCAACTTGGGGGCAAAATGGATGGCTGTGCTGGGTCCACAGGAAAGATGGGCAGGAAGGTAGGAGAACCAGATCTATGTAGATCTGTGTCCAGAGGAATTGGGCGACGGTTTATGTCCAGAGGAGAATGGAGGAGCAGATACAGCCTTGAAAGAGAGGCCATCCCAGGCGTGTGCCACAGGACTTCCAATAGTGCTCCATGGGGAAAGCCCTGACAGCCCTGGCTCTCCCTGCCCTGCCCTGCCATCTACCAGGAGGAACTCCATCATCCTGGGGGCTCTGGACTATCAAGAGGAGTCTTGGGGCTGAAGAGATGATCAGTCATTGGTAAAGTGCTTGATCCCCAGCACCCATGAAAAAAAGCCAGGTATGGTAGGAAGGCCTTTGGATCCTAGCACCAGAGAGGTAGAGACAGGAAGATGCCTAGGGTTTGCTGGTCAGTGAGCCTAGCTTAATAGGCAAGTCCAGATCCCAATGAGAGACCATGCCTCAAAAAACAAGGTGGATGGCTCCTGAGGATTGATACCCAAAGTTGATCTTTGGCCTGCACCCCTACACAAGTGAACACACACACACACACACACACACTCTCTCTCTCTCTCTCTCTCTCTCTCTCTTTCTCTCTCTCTCTCTCTCTCTCAAGCTTTTTTCCCCATCCTGGCATGGTGAACCATGCCCTCCACAGCAGGCTTCCAGAGCACGCCTCTCACTGTCCATCTACCATTGTGGACTCCTCTCTGTGGCTCAGCCCCTGGCACAGCCTGGGTGTGCAGTATCTGAGTTGCATCTTCACTGGAGTAACGACAGCATGCCCTGAACATCCTCCAGGGCTCTACCCTAGGACATTCCCCACCACAAAGCCAGGACCACCTCCAATACATTAAGCACCAGCTGTGATCAACAGGTGGATGCCTAGTGCAGCTGTCTGTCTCCCCAGCCACATCCTGTCTGACTCAGCAGCATGAAAATCTTATCACAAGAGGGAGGGGGGTTTGCATCCGGTGCCAGTGGAGGGCCTGGACCAATCAAGAATTATGGAGAGAGGACAGGGTACTGACCTCTCTCCACACACTGCCTGAAGCCTTTGTGCTCACACCACTCCACCTGCAGATTAGTCATGAGTCTGGGCAGCTCTCAGCAAGGTCAAGTTTAGGGAGATGGAAGACAGGAACAGATATGTATCTCCAGGGTTGGAAGGACCTTTCAAAGGTTTGTGAACTCCGTAGCTCTGTAGTGTGATCTGACACCTGGCACTGTAAGAAGGCGGAAGCCTGGGCGCCCATACTTCTGAGCCATGTGGGTACAGGCCCTTCCTATGAGGGGTTCTCACCCCAGCCTGGCCCCAAGTCCACTTACCACTGGAAACATCAAAGAACAGGAGCTTAAAAGAGGCGTGTGCACAACCATGATCCCAACACTATTCACAAGAGTCAAATGGTAGAAGCCAGCCAAATGTGCATCAGCGAATGATTGGAGGCACAACTGTGTTCTATCTTGGAGCTGGGGACATGGCTCAGTGGGAGACCACTTGCCTAACATGCAGAAAGCCCTGGGTTCAATCTCCACTACCGGGAAAAGAAAAAAAAAAAAAAAAGTATTCTTTCCATACAATGGAATGCTATTCAGCTGTAAAAAGGAAGTTAGTTCTGACACAAGCCACAATACAGGTGAACACTGAGGTCACTATGCTCAGTGAAATAAACCAAAGGACAGATTTTGTCTGAATCCACTCGCCTATCAGCCACCAGAGCATCAGGCCCTCTGAGATTATTCATATCATGCCCCCATGGGAGTCCACAGGGGCTCCAGCACCGATGACTGACTGCTCTCCAGCCTTCTAGGCCCCACAGTCCCAAGATCATACCACAGAGCTCTGGCATAGTCTAGCTATGTCTGCTACCAAAGGGGCTGGGTGACCCTCAGGTGCTACCTCTTGCTGAGGCCCAGGGGACAAAGAATCTTCATTCCCCTGAGTCTTGGGACATGGCCATGTACAGAGAGGTCTTTTTCCATCTCCACTGAAGCATCTCCACACCTGTGTTGGGCTTCTTCCAGAAACCCCAGGGCAAGCCCTGATCCCAACCATGCAGACTGAGGACCCGGCACTGGGCTACTCACCCTCCTGGTTCTGGTGTGGGACCTCAGCCGAAGGGGGTCTGGGCTCCAGCCTGCTCTGCAGCTGAGACATCGGGGGCTCGGAGTCCTCCAGGGTCTGGGGCGGGAGTGGGCAGGTGGGTGCCTCAGCTGGCTTGGGCACCTGGATCTCCACCCTCTTGGGGGCTGTGTCAGCGGTGGGGGCAATGGGCACCTCGGGGATCTTGGAAGCAGGGGTCTCTACCCTGCGGTGAACTGACTCCTGGGGCTTGACAAGGGTGATCTCCGTCCTCCGAGGGGTTGGCTCTGGTGTCTTGTGGCCTAGCACCTCAGCCCTCTTGAGCCCGAATCGGGAGGGCCCAGTGGTAGCGCCCATGTTCTCCACCTGCTTGGAGGAGATATCAATAGAGAGCTCAGTGCGCCGTGACACCGGTTCCGTTGACTTGGGCCCCACCAGCTCGACCCTCCGTAGGGATGGCTTAGGGGAACGCTGGCTCAGGGAGTCTACATGGCGGCCAGTGGGCTCTGAGTTCTTCACACCCAGGTCCTGGAATTTCTGGGTGGAGCTAGCCACTGTGGCTCGAAGCAGTGGGGTCTGGACCCTCCGGGGTGGAGTGGAGTTGGGGGGCTCAGCCTCCTCAACCTCGAAAGATCTCTTCAAGGCTGAAAGAGAGAGGGGAGGGCAGGCATGTTAAGAACGATACAGAGGATACCAGGCATGTACATGGTATGTTTCATGCTGTAGAAGGACAAAGGTACCAGGCCTGTAACCCTAGCTTCTTGGGAGGCTAAGGAAAGACCTCAAGTTCAAGGCCTGCCTGGGCTACAGACCAAGCCAGCTTAGGCAACTCTGTGAGAGCTTGTCAAAAGAAAGTAAAAAGAAAGCTAGGGGGCTGGAGAGATGGCTCAGCGGTTAAGAACACTGGTGTTCTTGCAGAAGACCCATGTTCAAATCCCAGCACCCACATGGCACCTAACAACTGTCTGTAACTCCAGTCCCAGGGGATCCGACAGTCTCTTTTGACCTCTGTGGGCATTGCACAACAGACAAGTCCATTCCAGGACCCACAGGGTACCACCAGCCATGAGGCTGCAGTGAGAGGGCACTGATCTCCCTCTTACCTCCTCCTCTGCCTCCCAACAGGAGAAACAGACAAGTCCATTCCAGGACCCACAGGGTACCACCAGCCATGAGGCTGCAGTGAGAGGGCACTGATCTCCCTCCTGTCCTGCCATGCTCCCAGCCCAATCCACACAGCCTCTTCCTCCAGTGTCAACTATAGGATGCGTTGGTTCAAGAGAACCCTGGAGTTGCTCCTCTACGGCTTCTTCCCCCTCCTCCCCTCTTCCCAAGGCACACAACCTGACTCCATGAGGCAAAAGCACCAGCAGCAGGGCGGATCCCAGCTGCAGGAACATTACAGCCATGACACCACAGCAGCTGCCCAGGGACTTCTCCATCAGGCAAGGTGCTGAGTTTACTGCGCCTAGTCGGGCTGATTTATCATCTGTGCTGTGAAGAATATTACTCCCTGGGTCAGTGAGATGGCTCAGCCAGTAAAGGCCAGTGCTGTCACCAAGCCTGATGACCTGAGTTCAATCACTAGGACCCACATGGTGGAAGGAGAGAACAGCCTCATCAACTCCCACAAATTGTCCTCCGATCTCCACATGTATGCAGTGACAGTGTGCCGCAGTGTGTATGCATGCATGCACATACACGTAAATAAATAAATATAATTGTTTTTAAAAAGAATATTACTGGGGCTGGAGAGATGGCTCAGCGGTTAAGAGCACTGGTTGTTCTTCCAGAAGACCCAGATTCGAATCCCAGCATCCACATGGCGGCTAACCACTGTCTGTAACGCCAGTCCCAGGGGATCTGACAGCCTCTTCTGACCTCTGAGGGCATTGCACGACACGGGTGCACTTACCTACATGCAGGCAATACACACATACACATAAAATTAAAAAAAAATTTTTTTTAAAGTATTATTTTCCTAGCAAAGGATACCCTGTGATGTCACCACAGGCGTGGAGCCAGACCATCTGTCTCTCTGGTACCAAAGCCTACAGCCCCTCGCCGGTTGTTTCTGCACTCAGTGTTTGTTCACTGACCTCCTCGGTCCTCACCATCCCCCCTGTCCTCCATCCTCCACTCCAGGCTGCATTAGCCACCCGGCTCCCATCCTGCAGCCCAGGGCTCCCACCCGGCCATCCTGTCACCTCTCCCACTGGAGTCTGCTCTCTTGGGAGCGGCAGGGTGGTGGCTGGGACGCCACCATCCTCACGTCCCTGCAGTCACCAGCCAAATGAGAACCAGCTGTTTGGGTTACATGGAGCCAAGCAGGAAGGGGCCCTCGTGGCAGAAATATCCAACAGCTCCCTCCTGGAACTACCAGGGTCTTTCCTGGCCTTTCTTTGCCTTCTCGCCAACCCCAGGACCCAGATTTCACGGAACCCCATGATTTCCTCGTCCTGCCCATAACAAAAAGGACTAAGAGCTGGCCCATACCTGCAGCAACAGCATCAGGGCCATCAAAGGCCACAGCTGCCTCTAGCCTTCTCCAAATGCAAACACAGTCCTTGGGTCTACAAAGGCCAGGCTTCCTCTGAGGACCACAGGCTCTTGCTAGGGAGCAGGGAGGGCAGGCGTCCAGGGGACACTCACTCTGAAGGACTCCGTCATTAAAATGCTCCCCAATCCCACACTTAAAAGGCCAAGTGTGGGACTGCAGAGATGGCTCAGCGATTGACAGCAGTGGTCGGTCTTGCAGAGAACGCAGGTTCAGTTCCCAACACATACATGATAGCTGAAAATTGTCTGTAACTCTAGTTCTAGGGGATCTGACACCCTCTTCTGACCTCTGTGGGCTTTGCACACACAGGTACACTTACATACATGCAGATAAAACTCAGACACATAAAGTTAAATAAATTTTTAAAAGATTAAAAATCAGGCATGGTGCATGCACTTGTAATCCCAACTCTAGGGAAGTGAAGTCCCTGGGACTTGCTGGCCTACTGGTCTAGCCCAGCCCACTTAGTGAGTCAATGAGGGACTCTGTCTCAAAAAAAAAGAAAAGGTAGGGCACGCCTTTAATCCCAGCACTTGGGTGGCAGAGGCAGGTGGATCTCTGTGAGTTCAAGGCCAGCCTGGTCTACATAGTGAGTTCCAGGACAGCTGGGGCTACAGGGAGACCCTGTCTCTGGGGGAGATGCGAACAAATCTTCTTCCTCCTCATAAGGTCCCAACAACAAACCAGAGCATATTTCTATCGAAGTTCACTCTGGGGAACCAATGAATTGACTGGGGTGATTTAGAGAACAGGGATGAGCAGTTGCTTACATGAGCATGGGTCCAACCCTAAGGCAGCTCCATCTTCACCCAGTATGGATGATGATTCTCCACAGGCCCCTCAGAGAACCTTCCCCAACCTATACACCACCAAGAAGCCTCATGCAGTTAGAGGTGAACTGTATACGAATGGCTGGAATCGGGTCCAATGACCCTCCTGTCTCCTCTGAGTGATGTCAACAGCCCACAGGACTTTATGACACTCTCTTGCAGGTAGGCACAGCTGATCTGATGAAGGTGGCTACTGTTTTGCTCAGGATTGAGGAGGGAAGGGGCAGAGGAAGGCCAAGTTCCAGTGCCGGGATTCCCAGGTGCGGCACCCCATGGTACCTTTCCTTCTCGGGGGACACAGGAGGCAAAGCTAAGCTCAGTCATCCTAGGCACCCAGGGAAGGAGCAGTAGATCTCAGTGAAGTGCCCAGCATGGCTAGAAGGCGCAGCATGGTCTCTAGGATGCACCGTCAGTGGGACCTGCAGCCCACCTACCACCGTTCTACAGAAAGTGAGGGAATATGGCGGCCAGAGCCTCTCACCTTCCGAGAGAATCTAGCAGCCTGGATTTTATGACACCGTCTGAAACAAATTCATATATTTCGAGGTTCTGAGACAGAGTGTCATGTAGCCCCAGTTGACCTCAAACTCACATAACTGAGGCTGGTCTTAAACTCCTGATGCCTGAGTTTCCAACTCCCAAGTGCTGGGATTATACTGGTGCGCCCTCATGCCCAGCAAATAAACTTAGAACCGCAAGTGATGTGATAAATAACACCTTAGAATTCTTTTTTTTTTTTTCTCTTTTCAGTACTAGGGTGGTACCTTTTTGTATGCAAGGCAGTGCTCTATGACTGAGCTACATCCCAAACCCTAAACCATTGCTCCCCGTACGCCACACTAGCGATAGAACCTAGGGCCTTGTGTATGCACTCTGGCAGTGGCTACAACTCCAGGCTCATTTTTGAATGAAGCCTCCAGAGACATGTGCGGCACTAGCCAAACAAAACCGCATCCACAATCTTCAGTCATCTGTGGTCACAGGGCACAAGGCCCATGAATCTGTGGCCTTCTATTCAAAGTACAGAGCATCTATCCCACCTGCCACTCCATCTTCCCACAGTTGTGTCTCTGCATGTCAAGTGTCACCACCATCTGCCCATACACCTTGGATAACTGTTGTGCTCACAACCTGCTCTGGTATCTAACAGGTATTTCCTGACTAGCACCCCTGTTCCTATCCCCATGACCCAAGAGAATGGGAATTGTCCCCATGGATGCAGCCTCCCACCATCAGGAGGGCAACACTAGATCACAGTAGCATATGCCTATAACCCCGTCACAAGTTTGAGGCCAGCCTGGTCTATATACCCTCTGTCTCAAAACATAAAGGGGAAAAAAAAAAATAGAGGTTTGGGGATGTAGAGTGTTTGCCTAGTACACAGGAAGCCTTGGGTCTGCTCCCCAGCACCACGTAAACTGGGTGTGGTGGTGCATGCCTGTAATCTCAGTAATCAGGAGCTGGAGATAGGAAGATCAGTGCAAGGCCACTCTTGGCTACACAGCAGAGTTTGAGACCAGCCTGGGCTACTTGAGACCATCTCAAAAAAACATAACAACAAAACAAAAACAACACTCCCCACCCCCAAAGGAAGTAAAAGGAACAGCAAAAAGAACCACTAGGGATCGGGGGCATTGTTCCACGTTCTCCCGGGAAACTGGGTTCCAGCCCTGGTATCCAGAAGACGCCATCTACATAGGGAGGAAGCACCTTTCCTCCTCAGGCAAGTCTGGTCCCCAGCCACACTTGCTCCACCCTTCCTGAGCCCCATGCTGCCCACAGCAACTCCCTCCCCATACCATTGATTTCAGGAAGCTACCTCTAATCACAGCACCACCAAAACCTTAATAACTTACTAAGGGGTGGTCACACCTCTAACTGTGGGTATAGATGGAGCCTGAGGATGAGTCTCAGGATCAAGGGGGGACCCACTTGCCTTCACCCCAAACCACCTGAGATCTCTCTCTCTCTCTCTCTCTCTCTCTCTCTCTCTCTCTCTCTCTCTCTCGTTGTTGTTGTCTTTTTGAGACAGGGTCTCCCTGTAGCCCCAGATGGCCTGGAACTCACTATGTAGACCGGGCTGGCATCGAACTCACAGAGATCTGCCTGCCTCTGCCTTCTGAGTGCTGGGGTTAAAGGCATGAGCCACCATGCCCAGCGAGGCCCCACTCTCTTAAGATTCTATAGTGGCTTGGAAAGTGGACTCCCCAGCCACATCCCCTACCCCAACCCCCGCCAAAAAAAGACCTGTACA